AGACTCATGGAAAAAGCGCAAAATGCGCATCATCCTGAGAATTGTCATGGAAAGAAAGGAAGAAATCTCACTACAAAGGGACAAAAATTACACCAGTCTCTTTTAGAAAGCGAAGATCACTCACACTTTCGCTTTCCCTTCAAAGCTTGCCTTATGACAACTGTTAAATGTAAGACAATGGGGGGAACACCCTAACTGAAGCATTTTTAGGGCAATTGGCAAGGTTGGTACCTGCAGTCTCAGGACATTGCCCCATCTGATGCTTTAAATTTCTGCACTCGTGTAACTGCAAGTTTCCGTGGTTTTGCAAGTGCAGCTAAAATGAACACATGAATGAGCGAATGAATGAAAAAATGTATTTGTGCAAACTGTGTGCAGATTTTAAAAAATTGGTCTGACAACCCCCCCCCCCCCACGATGCTGCTTGGGTGTTCTGAAAGGGCTTTCAGTGGCTGTCACAACAGGGATTATGAAAAGCGGCTGTCATTCCAGCTTTTACTTCTCAGGAGAGAAAGGTGGGGGAAAGCCGTGGTGAACTGAAGATGGCTCATGATTGTGGTAGGAAGTCCAAGGGAGAAGGAGGGAGTAAACAACACATTGTGATTGTCTTTTGGGTTCACTGTGGGTTGTTCACAAAATAACCAAGCTACCATGGCTTATTTCCAAAGAAGGTTGCTATGATGTGCAGGAATGCCCAATTCTCCCTCTACACGGCCTACTTCACAGGGTTGTTGAGAAAATGAAATGCTGAGGAAGAATATATTTGTCCCGTTGCGCTCTTTATAGAAAAGATCTGAATTAAATGTAGATAATATCATAAATAAGAATGGTTTATATTTATCTCATTATTACATCCTTGGAATATATTCTGCTGAAAGCAGTATGACAAACAAGTGTCTCGAGGGCTGATGTACACATTTGTTTCAGTGGGCTGCAGATCAGATGGATAGTTGCTTCACAGGAAAGTGAGTCTCGATCTAACAGAGCTTACTTTCCTGTAATCCTTTATACTTGGAATGTAGCACCACAGTTCCAGTGAACTTCTTTCTACATTACTGTATTTAGGATTATTCCTTTAGCCAAATGATTTGTGTAATTGTCTTGTCTAAGTTAGTTTGTAAACTTGCTGAGATGTTCTGGGCTGAGCCAGGGAGTATGTGCTTGTCCCTGTTTTGCTTTCTCTCCAATAGTTAAAGTCCAGAGGCACCAAGAGGGATTTCCATCCAGCAGCTGACATCTACCAAGTTGTAATTCATATGAAAGAAATGGGGCAGAGGAAGAAATAAGGAAGAGTTAAGAAAACAAGGTTTTAAACATGTTTCAAGGAAACAGCACTTGCTGACTGCACAGCTGGAGCCCCTTGCTGGTTTTCGGATCAGGAGGGAGAGAAAAGGGCCTATAAGAACTGCGACCCTAAGGGTGAACTTTGTTTCTGCAGTGCATATTCCAGATTAAAGGCCAAAGGGCCTAGATGACTGCAACTGTGCACCTGCAGTCATCCTAGTGCTCTGTTCACAGGACACAGCACCACAGAACTGTCCATCTTGCCCATTGCATTAGCATCACCACTATGGAAACACAATTTTCAGCTTTGGTAGATGCCATTCCACTGGTGATTAGTGGGAAGGAAGCACAGCTGTTGGTGGGTGAACTGCACCTCTCTCTCTGTTTGTCAGGATCTGGGCTGCTCTGATGGCCAGAACCAAAGCAACCACCACCATATTTGCAGGAACAGTCCCAGGCCCTGCTGGAGCTCACTTTCTACTGATGAACACCAGCTGGGAGTCTTGGAAGAAAAGCTATATAAGAACAAGCTTGTCCCTCCAGAACCGCCTTCAAATAACATAGGTTTTCCTGTAGCTTCTGCCTCATCTCCTGCCTTGCTGTGTTACCTCAGTAGTACAGGGGCTCCTCTTTGCTGCTGTACCCGCATCTTGCCAGACTGTTCCTGCTCCTGGTTCCTGCTGTGTCTCCTGCACCTTGCTGTGCTTCCTGCCTTGCCCAACTGCCCCAGCAATGCAGGTCCTCCTGTTCGCTGTAGTGCCTGCTCCTTCTGTGTCTCCTGCCTTGCCATATGGCCTCAGCAGCAGAGGTTCCTCTGTTTGCTGCTGCTCCTGAACCTCACCTGACGGTTTGTGCTCCTGGTTCCTCTTCCTGGTTCCTGGTTTCCATGTGGCCTTGCTGTTGTAGCTGCCTCTTGCCTGATCTACATCCTGCCTCACTGTGTTGCCTCAGTAACACAGGGCCTCCTGTGGGCTGTGGTTCAGCACTTGCATCTTGTCCGACCCACGCTGCATCTGGCTTCTTTTGTTTTGTGTATCCTGCCATGCCATGTCTCCCATCCTGTTATCCTGTCCTAGGTACTTGTACCTCTGTTTGTCCTTCTGGTTCTTGACCCTTGGCTTGTTCCTGACCAGTTCCTTGACCTGCCCTTCTGCATCCTTCTGGTTCCTGACCTCAGCTTGTATCATGATGATGATTTGGTCTTTCCATTAAACCCTGATTTTGGACCATGCCTTCCCTGAAGTTCTGTTGCCCTGCTCCTGGTACCTCAGTTGCTCTTTTCTTGTCTTGTCCCTGGCCACCCACACCCCTGCCGCAGACCCTGACACTATAATTCATCAACAAAGCTGGACTATAATCTAATTTCAGATTAGATTAGTGTGGACTGGCACCAGTTTGCAGTACAAAAATGACAAAAGGTTTCCATCATCTCAAGCAAAATCATTCTGCAGTGCCTCTCACCTTCCACAGGAGTGCTTCAGGCCTTTGCCTGGAGCAGAACCGGAGTCTTCTAGCACAGTTTGGGATTTGCAGGATCCCAAAGTTTCAGGACGGAAAAATAAAACTTCTGCACTTCCCACCTTCAGGGATGGGGTCAAGGGGAGGCATGGCCAGGCACATGCTGAGCTTCCACATACCAGCAGAGGCCCACCAACAAGATGATTTACTGGTCCTCTTCACTATTCTTTAGAATGATGTAAACTGCTTTGAGTTTGTTGTAAGAAAAAAAGCAGAATATAAATCTAATAAATAAATAATATAATCCAAGGTAGCATTATAGGCTTCTCTTTTGATGCCAGATGCCATCCCTGAATAAATGTAATGCAGTAAACACTTATAAACTTCACCATCAATGACTAATTGGTTGATTCTTGTTTCTGACAGTCACCAAAAGCAAGACTGGTCAATATTGTTCAGCTATGAATCCTTCAGAAGAATTATGGTTTCCACCTGGTGAAAACTGCTTTTCACTAGTGCAGAGAAAGCTAAGCAACTACTATAGGCTTACGCAAAAGAAACAAGAAGGACCCATGTTGAGTTCTGTGTCAGATATCAAGTCTAATGGCAAACCTGGGGAAGACTTCCGAAGGATCCAGTCTACTGACCTGCTGAAATTGGTCACAAGGGTGATTAACCTGAACCCAATAGCCACTGGGAGGTCCTAACTGCTGACTCCCAAGAATAATGCCATGGTGCAGAGGAGACCCATCTAATACCATATGCTGGCCAGAGCTTGTTTCACCCTTCCTATAGACTTCCTATAGAAAGAACACCTATAAGAACTAAGGACTAGGGCTGGAGTTTTGCTTTCTTCCTTCTGGCTCCCAATCCTTTTGTGCTGTAATTTTAGACTGCGAGGCTGAGATTGTCTCATTCTTAATCTTCTGGAAGCTGTTTCAGGCTGAAGAATGGGGTAAAAATACTGTGAATAAATAAAACACTTAAAGGAGCAGCAGCGATACATGGCCCTGTTTGCACGGAACTGTGCTGCAATGTGGTGGAAACTCTGTTTGTTTACATGATGTCATTTAAGCCATGACCTTCCATCGTGTTGGCTACTTGGCCGTGCCTGTGAAAATCATACCAAGGCCTGTGAGGCAGCTGCATCCCTACCACCCTACTAGTGATATTCCTGAACAAGGATGGGAGCTTCCAGATGTTGGGCTACAACTCCCACCATCCCTCACCACTGCCTTTGTTGGTCAAGGGTGGTGGACATTCCAGTCCACCAATCTATTGAGGCTTCCATGTTCTAGATGGACATTCCAAATCCTGTTCCATGTGCAACAGTATGGAATTACTGTCAAACGGTACCATAGGACACTAGAAGCCCTTCCAAAGAGTGCCAGAGAACTGGGTGACAGCTCACACTGCAGTTACTATGAGAGTGTAGATCACATTTCTATTGAATGCTGAGGCAATATTTGCCTAAAGAAGCCATGTTTTGGGCATCAGAACATTAACAATACTAATAGTTTACAAATTGTTGAGGCTTTCAGGTAGCGCCTGCCCTTTACGTCATGTCTTGATTAAACAGAACCACAGCACTGTTCTGCTAAGTAGCATTGTTCCCCTTATAGATCTCTGTCCTTAGTAAACCACCAAGAAACTTTTCACCAGTTTCAACTGCTAATTTCTAAGTGCTCAATGCAGAATTAAAACAAAAGTCTCATCAGTCCAGTAAGATAAAAATCAGGCCAATCATAATCATAATAATCATAATAAAGGTCGGGGGTATGCTGTTTGTCAAACGATTCCCTTCCCATCATGTCCCTAGGCAGCCTTCAGCTACTGACCTATTTATCAGTTCTATGGCAAGACTCCTGGAAACACTTTTTAACCCCCCCCCCCCACCCCACGATTTTCCTATAATAAATCTCTCACCATCAGTTTAACAGTGAACAGCATGTAAACCTCGAGCTATTTGGGTGCCAAAGAAAACGATGGCTTTCGATGCCTATTGAGATTTCGGCCCTTTCTTTCAGGGGGAAACCAAAGGCGGGGGAAAACTTTCCCCACGAAAGAACAATTCCAAACATAGTCAGGTGTCTCCGGAAAGTCGCAAAGCCGCCTAAGTGAATGGAGACAGTCCACCTTGCAAACGCCTTGCAGGAATCGCTCCCACCAACCACAAAAGGAGGAAAGATGCGCGCGCGTGTGCCCTGTGAGCGAATGCGATGCACCGACAGGCACACACGGAATGGCTCCCTCCCTACCTTGGATTCCTGGCTGGTGGTGGAGGCAGGCGATGGGGGCTGATCCGGGCTCTCCGTGTCGATTTCCTTCTCCACGCTCTCGGGGCTGACTTCAGTCGCGTTGCTTGGAGGAATCATTTTGCTGTGTGAGGAAGAGCTGTCAGGAAGAGCTCGCTTCAGTTCACGTGTTCTTGCGGCTCCATCCCCTCGAAGCCAACGAACTCTGCGGGACTCGATTTGCGAGTGTGGGATTTCCTTTTTTAAAAATCCTCCAGCCTTTTCTCCTCCGCCTCCTCTTCCTCCTCCTCCTCCTCCTCGCTTCCCCCGCCCCGCCACCAAGGGATCCTGCTACAAGTTATTGATGGCGCTCCGGCAAGGGAGAAATCAGGGGCGGCCAGCGCCCCCCCCCCCGCCGCTCGGGGGCTCTCGTGGCCCCGCCCTCTTCCCTCCTCCGCCGCCGGGAAGGTGTGTGTGAGAGAGCGGAAGAGAGGCGGCCGCCGGCCCCACAGCGATCCGCATGGGAGTGAGCTGAAGCAGAAAGCCTGAGCGTAACACATGGAGCCAGGGCGGGGAGGGGGGGGGGAAGGAGGGAGGAGTCGGCGTCGCTGCTCAGCGCCTCCGGCTGGAGCATGTGCCGTTGTAGTAGTGAAGGTAGCAACGTGCCTCCTCAGTCTACACACGCGCCGCTCCATCAGGGCTGGCGGAGCTGGCGCAAACCTGAAGCGGCGGGCGCCGCCCTTTCCAAAATCCGGATCTTTCTCCTGGATCACGTTTTCTATGGAAGCGGACTCCTCTAGCTGGAGAACCGCTGGCTTATGGCTTTGGCGTCTAGCAGCCTGCAAGAGCATGCATGCCCTTGGATTGCGGGCAAGGGGGCTGTGTATCAAGTGGGGTGCAGCCGGGATTGGACCTTGGTGCCAAGTCCAGGTGCCGGAGAGGCACGTGAACGCCCGGAAGGCAGCACAAGCAATCTTCATTTTATCCTGGCTTCACAGACCTGCTGTGATTTAAGCGAGCGATGCTAAGGCTTCCCAATAGGGTTGGGAGAGGGAGCGTGGGGTAAATGGGAACCCCCACCTTTGTTTTTATAGTATAGTGTATTTGTGTTTCGATAGTAGTAAACCTGCATAGAGAACTTCAGCTATTGACAGAAGTTAGACAATAATTTGGAAAAGTGCTCCGAGGTCAGAAGCGGAGCCTTCGACCTCGGAGGGCCCTAAATGGTTCCTTCCGTGCAGGAGTCGGTAGGTAGGCAGGGCACGGGTCGAAGAAAAGTGAGGCACCTCTGTCTCCAAAGGTCTCTCTTTGCCCTTGCAAGGAGGACAAACAAACAAACAAAAAATAAAGGAGAAGAGCAGGAGGAGGGCAGAAGCAATCCTTGCTTCCAAGCTTTCCCCACTTTTTACTGGATACCCAGATAAAAGGGTTCAGTTCAGAGAATTAGGGGCAGCCTCCCTGAATGACAAATTGGGTGAACTTAAAATGCAAAACTGAAGATGCTGAGGCTTGGCAAAAGTGTAGTCGAGTGTTGAAGGGGTTGTAATCATGGAATGGAGGGTGGGAAGATGAAAATATGTGCTTCAAAACTGAATCAATAACAGGCGTGTGAAGCTCCTTTCCCATAATTAAATCTGGGATTTAAAATTATTCATTGCTTATATCGCAACATAATTTTAGTGCCACTGAGTTCAGTGGGAGTACTTTAAGTAGGACTAACATGATATTCACCCCACTGCCCTCTTTCAACATTTCCAGCTAGAGCAGGTACCCTGGACCTTTTAGGGTGGCAAGGTGTAGTTGGTTACCTTGGAGTTTGGGTGTCATTGCTCTGCCTCAGCCAGGAAATTTCACATGGAAGCCAGGTTACATCATCTTGATCTTGTAACCATGGCATGTTTTACCACTTCGGCATCTGTCCTTTTTCTTTTCACAAAAATCCATTATGGAGTTAAAAGAAGGAAAAGCTGCACTGTGGCTTTTTATTGGTAGAGCTGCCTCATCGTCTGAGGACTAGGGAAGCCTGAGTTCAAGTCCCTGTTTGGCCATGATGCTCACAAGAAGGCCTTAGGCCAGTTATCTCCTAGCCTCGCCTACCTGCTCTGCATGTATTTATTTATTATTATGTTTAGATCCCATCATTTTCCTTGCAAGGTTTCCAAGGCTGCTCATACGGTCTTCTTCCTCTATTTTACCCTCACAACAGCCTGTGAGGTAAGGTAAGCCAAGGGACACTGGTCCAAAGTCACCCAATGACCTTCGGGCCCAAATGGAGACTAAAGCACAGATCACGCGAGTCCATAGGTCAGTGCACTACATCGCACTGCATCGCTGGGGATTTTGTTTCTGTGGGACTGCAGTCCCGCTCTCCGAGCACTCTCACATTCAGTTATGTGAAGTGTGCATTCTTGTTTCTTCGTGAGAAGGAGAAAGAAACACGGATGAGCCAAAACCCTGCTACAAAGGCCGACATTCTCTTGCTGACACCCCATGCACAATTCTCAGGATCACGTTTTTATCTGAAAAAGGGTACAGAGAGTGACCATAATAGATTGTTGCCAGTTCCTGCTCTCCTAATTGGACACGTGGATGTCAGAAGGTGCAAGGCCCTTCAAAGGTCAAGAATGTGCACCTGAGCTCCATAGAGCATATCTTCAGGTTGTCACGCTGATCACGCAGCGTCCATGTGGCTTACTCGGTTAACTTACCTGATCTGTGAGCACCTTGGCAGACATTCTGTCTTCTGCTCTTGCCCCTCCTGGTTTGGAGAATGCGGGATATGCTGGTGCATCCTTTTACCTCTCCATCACTTTTTCCATCTGCTTCAGTTTTGCAGTAACCATGGCACTCATCTCTAACACCCAGGCTCACTTCAAACCATGGTTTGAAATAATAATTTGAGAGTTACTACCTATTTCTGCTTAGTTCAGACATTTTGGCTGATTGTGATGAGAGAAGAAACCAAGAAATAGAGGAATATGACAGATGAACAAATTATCACTGGGAAGAGGGGTCAAGACAAGGGGGTATGGTTTCTGGGAGGCAGGAAGGCAGGAAGGAAGGAAGGAAGGAAGGAAGGAAGGAGAGAGAGAGAGAGAGAGAAGAGAGAAAAGAGAAGAGAAGAGAAGAGAAGAGAAGAGAAGGAAGGAAGGAAGGAAGGAAGGAAGGAAAGAAAGAAAGAAAAGAAAGAAAGAAAGAAAGAAAGAAGAGGAGAAAGCAGATCAATGATGGAAGGGGTCCATGCTTGTGTTGGTGTATACCAGGGTGCTCTGAGTTACTCAACAGAAGAGACATGGTAAATGTCAGATATTTGCAAGGTATGGACGGGTGCCTGTGGACTGCTGCGGCGAGCCACAAAAGAAACTCAAAAGGCTCACAAGCCTCAGTTTGGTCACTGCTGGTATGTGCATTAATGGAAGGACAGGTGAAAATGAGAAAGAATGGATTAAAGATGAATGCAGGGTGTGCATGTGTATGTTTGAGCAAGAGTGGCTTTGGCTTCACTATTGGCATATCCTTCCCAACAGGTGATGCCCATCCTGATATACAGAAAACCTATTTGAAGCACAGTTTTGTTCTCCAATGTTCTTCCCCAACCTGGTGGCCTTCAGAGGCATTTGAACCACAATTTCCAGAATTCCCATGCAGCAGGTCCACGGAGTGGGAATTCTGGGTGTTACAGTCCAAATGTGTCTGATCTAGAATTTGAAATGAAGCTCTGCCAAAGATTCCCAACCCTTCTGGGTCAGGAGGTACATTTGGAATTTTGCTGGAGTGTCATGAGTACTCCCACAAAATGGCTGCCATCAGGTGATACTCGCCCACTCATAAAAGGTTGCCAAGTTGGGCACATCCCACTTATTTCCCAGAAAGCAAACTAGTGGATAGTATAAGGCTAGTATAAGGATAGTAACTGTCCCCTAAACCTGTGTACAAGGGAGGGGTAGCATTTGTGCTCCAAAAAGACAAAACACACTCTTCTGAATCCAGTTAAAGATGGCCCTGGTGGGTGGCACTAAGCTTTGCACCATGCCAGCCTCACGCTTAATTTAATTAAAACAAATCTTAGGAAAAATAATGCAAAATCAGGAGGGAGAAGGGACCTGGTACTTGTGAACACACTGGTGGGTATGGGCAGTATGATAGAATATCCAAAGCTATGGAATAGTACCCCTCCTGTCACCAGGATCAATCCCTTTACATTTGAAGTTATATCTGTATTTGTAGAAGACAGGGAAGCTTAGATTTTGTTCCAAAACTGGTCATCCTTTGGCCGTAATTTTAATGTAACTTAATCCACAGCATTCTCAATGTCAGTGGAGCTTGTTTGTCTGTGTATTTTTTTTAAAACCTGTACACCAGACTGCAGGAGAGTTCGTGATTTATAATGAGACAGAAGGCAGGGAAAAGACTCAGCATGACATTGAAATTCCTGTTTTAATGGTCAGATTGGGCAATTCGATAAAAGGCTTTTACTGTAAAGTGGAGCAGAGCTGAGCGGACTCTACTGGATGCTACGTATGCACCCAACGGATCTATTAACAGTCAGTATAGGCAGAAACGCACAACAGCACACTTGGCTCTGTGTCAGCTCACACAACTATAATGTTCCAAAACTGCCTTGACTGTGGTAGAGAACTTCCCACCCGCAGCTCTTACAGGGTCAGCTTCCTTCTCGTGGCTAGGGAGAGAGCCTAGTGGTGGATGGTGGATACATCATTGGACTTGGGCCCAGGAGATCTGGCTTCTAATCCCCACTTGACCCTGAAGCTCACTGGCTGACTTTGGGCTAGTCACTGATTCTTGTTCTAACCTACCTGTCCTGAGGATAAAACAGAGCCAAAAGGTGTTGTGTAAACCCTATTGAGTTCATTGCAAGAGGAAATAGAAATGTAATAAATAATAAACTGCAAATATTTCTCAATGTACAAACTGGGCATGAGGGAGCAGGTGGTGCATATGTATCCAAACAGAGCCTTTACTTCAAGTGGCACCTGTTTTCCCAAAAAGCCAGCAGCATGCCTTTTGGTCTTTTCCCACTACTGAAGCTCCCACTACTGTCCTTCCAGCTGTAGAAACAAAGAACTCTGTCTTCCTCCTGGTTGTGTCCCAAGTGCCAAACAGTTTTCCTTAGGCCACTATCCCATCAGAGGGAGGTATCCAGCTGTAGCCACCAGCCACCAGCCGTCAATGTTCTTTCAGCACTAATGCCAAGTATGGCCCTCAGGATGGACAGAGGTTGGATAATAGTGGAAGATGTGATCACAAGGGATATAAACAGT